TAACCACCACATCCGGTTCTTTTTTTTTTTTTTTTGGGTAGAGATGAGGTCTCCCTTGTTACCCAGGCTGGTCTTGAACTCCTGGGTTCAAGCAGTCCTTCTGCCTCGGCCTCCCAAAGCGTTGGGGTCTCCAGTGTGAGCCACTTCACCCAACTGAGGGTGCTCTTTAGCTTAGAAGAGAGGGGACCCTTGTCCCAGTCTGTCCTCAGAGGGGTGGCTGTGGAGCTGTACAGTCGCTGGGGACCCTTGGGTCAAAACCGCCCAGGACACAAACGGAAAGGCACAGCGGCTCCAACCCCACCCAGACCTTTCCCAGGAACCCGTGGCACCACAAGTGCCCCCGTGACCCTTGCTGTCCAGTGTGAGGACCTGCAGGGAGCAAGGGTCTCTGTGGCCACAGACCATGCCGCTGGGGACTTCTCCCTGTCCCTGGGGGAGCCAGGCTGCGAGGGGCTGGGGAAGGGCGAGGGTGGACATGGAAAGAATTCTCACAGCAATGGACACTGCCGCTCGACTGGGTCTGACGGGGCGTCTGCAGGGAGCAGGGTGACTAGGAAGACCCGGGTCAGGGCAGGGCTGGGTTGGAAAGAGGCCACAGGCTCTGACCCCGCCCGCCGCCCTTTCCAGCCCGCCAGCCACAAGAGACCCTGCCGCCCACAGCCAACGGCAGCGGTCCCAGCCAGGAGTTTGAGGGCCGCTGGCCAGAGATCCCGGAGATGTCCCCGTGTGTGGCTGGCGTCATTCCTGTCATCTACTACAGTGTCCTGCTGGGCCTGGGGCTGCCTGGTGAGTGGGGGTCTGGGGTCTGGAAGCTTGGGCTTGGCCAGAGATGGGAGTCCTCCTTCAATGGATGCGAGTCCTCTGGACTGACTTCTGAGACTCAGGTCTCCCCTTGCCTTTCTGAGGGGGTTCTGGGAGTAAACACGAAGGGCCGGGATTTGGGGTGCTCACGGCGAAACCCAAGGTTTCACCAGAGTAGACAGCCCACTCCTGCCCCAGTAGTGAGCACCCTCCTGGGATGACTAAATTCACACAGGCCCCCGCTGGGCTCGGTCCAAAGCTCCCTGTATCACCTTCTGCCTTCAGAGAGCAGAACTTGGGCTGGGGACCAGTACACGGGTACAGGAACCACTAGGTGGTCTCGGATGGGGATTCTCCGAGCCTGGTAAGTAAACGCATGCCTGTGTCCAGTGACATGCCCAGAGACACCTAAAAGGACTTGGTGCGGAATGCCACAGGACTGATGGCCTCTCGAGGGTACCCTGCTGTGTGAGTTTACCTGTGTTCAAGGGGGACCCCAAGAAAACTAGAATTCATTTATAAAAACTGTGTATTGCCAGGCGCAGTGGCTCACGCCTGTAATCCCAGCACTTTGGGAGGCAGAGGCTAGAGGACTGCCTGAACTCAGGGGTTAAAGACCAGCCAAAGCCAGGCTCGGTGGCTCAGCCTGTAATCCCGCGCTTTTGGGAGGCTGAGGTGAGTGGATAGTCTGAGCCCGCGGGTTCGAGACCCACCTGGGCAGCGAGACCTCATCTCTACAATAAATCAAAAAATCAGTCGGGCGTGGTAGCGCATGCCTGTAATTCCGGCTACTTGGAAGGCTGAGGCGGAAGGATCGCCGGAGCCCAGCAGGCGAGGCAGTGGTGGCCGGGAGCAGCCACTGCACTCCAGTCTGGGCGACAGAGTGAGACTCCAACTCAAAAAAACAAACAAAAAGAAAAAGACCAGCCAGAGCAACATGGCAAGACCTTGTCTCTCCAATAAATAATAATTAAAAAATTTAGCCAGGCATCATGGTGCACACCTGTGGTTTCAGCTACCTGAACCCAGCAGGTGGAGGCCATGGTGGCTGTGAGCATGCCACTGCACTCCAGCCTGGGTTAAACAGTGAGACTCTGACTCAAAAAAAAAATTGTGTATTTATTTACATGTGTAAACTTCACTTTCTTTTTTTGTTTGTTTTTGAGTCGGAGTCTCACTCTGTTGCCCAGGAGGGAGTGCAGTGGCACACTCATGGCCACTGCGGCCTTGACCTGCTGGGCTCAAGTGATCCTTCCACCTCAACCTTCCAAGTAGCTGGAACTATAGGTGCTCACCACCATGCCTGGTTATTTATTTATTTTTTTTGAGTTGGAGTTTCACTCTGTCACCCAGACTGGAGTGCAGTGGCCGCTCCCGGCCACCGCAACCTCGACCTGCTGGGCTCCGGCGATCCTTCCGCCTCAGCCTTCCGAGTAGCCGGAACTACAGGCATGCGCTACCACACCCGGCTAATTTTTGATTTATTGTAGAGACTAGGTCTTGCCAAGTTGTCTGGGTGGGTCTCGAACCCACCGGCTCAGGCAATCCACTCGCTTCGGCCTCCCGAAGTGCTGGGATGACAGGCTGAGCCACCGAGCCCAGCCTAGTTTTTTAATTTATTGTCGAGATGAGGTCTCACCCAGTTGCCCAGGCTGGTCTTGAGCCCCTGGGCTCGGGCAATCCTCTTACTTTCACCTCCCAAAACGCTGGGATTACAGCCGTGACACACCCGGCTTCAAAAGTTTTTGAACTCCTCAGTGTCGATGACTTTTAGTGCCTCTGTCTGTCATTTTTTGTTGCACCTCTTCTACACTGGCAAAATATTTTCCTTTGAGGACTTTTTTCACTTGGGACAAGATCGGGTTAATGGGGAGGGGGGGCATGGGGGTCATGCAATTTTGGGTCAAAAACAGCTGAACGCTCAGATCAGTGTGGGCCGTTGTGCTCATAAATCACCCATCACGGAATAGGCAAACACATTGGAAGAATCCCCCAAAATACCTCACTGATGTCAAATGCCGCCTCTCACAATGTTAACCGGTACACGGATGCTAATAGGTTCTTAGAACACTTACCTAGTGGGGGAAGCCTGTACTACAAGCCACCCTCCAAAAAATAAGTTTGGGTTGTTTTTTTTTTTTCTTTTTCTTTTTTGCTACCTCCTTGTCTAACCAGGATAGAGTCAGTGGCCTGTGGTGTGTGGATGGACAGGTCAGGGCTGACCCGGGTAGCCTTGTCAGCAAAGTGGGTTTTAAGAAAGATCTGGAAAGAGGAAAAAAGAGAAGCCAGCACAGCCACGGGCACAGCTGGGGAGGGATGACAATGACACATTGGAAAGCAAAGCCTGGGCGTCTCTCTAATGCCTCTGACCTCTCCTCTTGTGACTCGGCGGCCGCCAGTCAACCTCCTGACCACGGCAGCCCTGACCCGCCTCGCCGCCAGGACCAGGAAGCCCTCCTACTACTATCTCTTGGCACTCACGGCCTCCGACATTGTCACCCAGGTGGTCATCGTGTTCGCGGGCTTCCTCCTGCAGGGAGCCGTGCTGGCCCGCCAGGTGCCCCCGGCCGTGGCCCGCACGGCCAACATCCTGGAGTTTGCCGCCAACCACGCCTCGGTCTGGATGGCCATCCTGCTCACGGTCGACCGCTACAGCGCCCTGTGCCGTCCCTTGCAGCACAGGGCTGCCTCGTCCCCGGGCCGCACCCGCCGGGCCATTGCCGCCGTCTTCAGCGCTGCCCTGCTGATGGGGCTCCCCTTCTACTGGTGGCTGGATGTGTGGAGGGACGCTGACCCCCCCAGCACACTGGACGAGGTCCTCAAGTGGGCTCACTGCCTCACCATCTATTTCATCCCCTGTGCTGTGTTCCTGGTCACCAACCTGGCCATCATCCACCAGCTTCGGAGGAGAGGCCAGAGCAGCCCGCAGCCCCGCGTGGCCAAGAGCACCGCCATCCTTCTGGGCATTACCACACTCTTTGCCCTCCTGTGGGCACCCCGCATCTTTGTCATGCTCTATCACCTGTACGTGGCCCCCGTGCACCGGGACTGGAGGGTCCACCTGGCCTTGGACGTGGCCAACATGGCGGCCATGCTCAACACAGCGGTCAACTTTGGTCTCTACTGCTTCGTCAGCAAGACTTTCCGGGCCACCGTCTGGCAGGTCATCCACGATGCCCGCCTGCCCTGCACCCTAGGGTCATGCCAGAGGGCATGGCAGCAGAGCCTATGCTGAAGCCTCTAGGATTCCTCAAAGGGACAGGACTGTGGCGGGGCAGGGGTGGAGCCCAGACAGGAGCTCGTGGTAGCTCAGGACCACATGTACTCGGGACTTGGAGATCGTGCCTGACAAAATGTCAGCGACACCCTGACGGGCTTGGGTGGGGGTGGGGGCTCCTTCGGGGGTGGCACCCACATAGAAAGGAGGACGCCCAGCCAGCTCTCGTGTTTGCTTTGCAGCAATTCCCATTTTCCGGAAAAAGACGGGCCTAACAGGCATGGGCTAGCAGCACCAGCTGCTTTGTGAGGGGCGTTTTGCCTGGCACGCTGTGGATGTGAAATGAACACCTGTTGAAGGAATGGAAAGATGGACAGGTGGGTGGGCTGACGAGTGAACATGGATAACCCCCACCCACCCCCCTCCCCGGGGCCTGCCTCTCATAACCCCCACCCACCCCCTTCCTCTCACTCCCTGAGTTGATGCCCGGGTTTGTTCTGCTGTTGTTGTTTTTTGCTTGTTTGTTTGAGTCGGAGCCTCACTCTGTCGCCCAGGCTGGAGTGCAGTGGCCCACTCACGGCCACCGCAGCCTTGACCTGCTGGGCTCAGGTGATCCTTCAAGCTCCAGCCTTCCAAGTAGCTGAAACCAGTCACACGTGATGGCGCCTGGCTAACTTTTTTATTCATTGCAGAGACAAGGTCTGGCCAAGTTGCTCAGGCTGGTCTCAAATCCCTGGACTTGGGCGATCCTCTCGCCTCTGCCTCCCCAAGTGCTGGCATGAGCCACCGTGCCTGGAGATGCCAGGGCTTGAAAAGGGAGAAATCGGCCGGGGTCGGTGGCTCAGTCTGTCATTCCAGCGCTTTGGGAGGCCGAGGTGAGTGGATGGCCTGAGCCCGCGGGTTCGAGACCCGCCTGGGCAACTCGGCGAGACCTCATCTCTACAATAAATCAAAATGAGCTACGCGTGGTACCGTGCGCCTGTAGTTCCAGCCACTTGGAAGGCTGAGGCGTAAGGATTGCCGGAGCCCAGCAGGTCGAGGCTGCGGTGGCCAGGAGCAGCCACTGCACTCCAGTCTGGGTGACAGAGTGAGACTCCAACTCAAAAAAAAAAAAAAAGAAAAGAAAAGGGAGAAATCGGTAGGACTCAAGGTGTTTCCTGGGCTAGGGGACCAAAGATGTTGAGTTGAGCGACGGGAGGGGTCTACAGAAGCCCCCAGGGCAAGCCTTGAAGCAGATTTGATGCGCCCAGGCCGGTGTCTGTCCAGACCCAGGGACACACAACCCCCGAGGCCTCAGACATCCTGGTTTGATTCTGCATTTCTTACTGCCCTGGAGCCAGGACAGGTTCAGAGGCCCAAAATGTGCTCTGGGGCTGCACTTTTCATCGTGGTTGATGAGGAGATCGGAAATGGCCTCTCAGCCCAGGGCACCAGCAGAACCAGGAGGGAAGACTTCACTGGTGGCCACCCTTGGGAGACAAAGCAGCAGGTGCAGAAGCCGTGCCTGCTCAGCCCTGCTTGCAGCGTCATTCCACAAAGCCGGACTGTGACGACGTGCTCGAAGATGAAACGGGACCGAGCGTGTGGACCCTCGTGTCTCTTGCCTGAGTGACTCTATGCCTTAAAAGTAAGGGACCCCAGTCCTTGCCTTTTCCTGCACATGAGATAACATCGGACAGGGCTAGTGATTGCCCAGGTGTCCTCTTACCTTCGTGTGAACCTGCTTCGATGCAGCTTCTGGCGAGTCTGACGTGATCCGGCACATACCAAACCCCCCACCCAGGCATGGCTGTGGGCTGGAAGCCCGAGCAGGAGCGCCTGGCAGGACTGCTCCCCGGCCACAGCTCCGTCTGGAGTTCTCAGTATGGTTTCTGAATACAGTTAACTTTATTAAAAAGTTGGGTTTTTTGCCTCTAAGTTATTGCTAGGGAACTGAATAAAACTAACTTTAGTTCTCTAAAAGCCTGGACTTTTTTTTTTTTTGAGTTGGAGTCTCACTCTGTCGCCCAGACTGGAGTGCAGTGG